TTAGGTCTTGTTAACAAACTCATTTCGAATAATATGAAACCGGGGAATTTTTGAATAACACTAGGTTACCTCAACGGGGATATGCAAGTCCCCAACAATAAGAATATCATATTTCTTCTTGACAGTAGGAAGAGGAAATTCAAAACCTCCAATAGTGATTGTTGAAATTTTTCCAATAGAATTGATACTGTGGATATGAGGTTGTTCTTTCGAAAAGTGTATTGTATGCTCATTACCATTAACATGAAAAGTGACATTGCCTTTGGTGCAATCAATAACAACCCTTGCAGTATTCAAAAAGGGTCTTCCAAGAATAATAGACATACTAGTCCTTGGGAATGTCAAGAATAACAAAAGTCCGTTAAAATAGTAATGTTTGCAACCACAATAGACACATCCTCACAAATACCGACAGGCATAGCAGTTGATTTGTTAGCCATTTGCAAAGATATTTCAGTAGGTGTCAGCTTATTCAAATCAAGTCTACGATATAAAGAGAGAGGCATAACACTAACACCGGCCCCGAAATCATATAAAGCGATTTTAACATAGTTTCTTTAATGGAGCATGGTATAGTTGGTACTCCGGAATCTCCTAGTTTCTTTGGTATTCCACCCTTAAAAGTATAATTAGCAAGCATTGTGGAAATTTCAGCTTCTGGAATCTTTCTTTTATTAGTAACTATATCTTTCATATATTTAGTATAAGGATTCATTTTAAGCATATTAGTCAAACGCATACGCAAAAAAGATAGGTCTAATCATTTCAGCAAAGTGCTCAAAATCCTCATCATCCTTTTTTCTTGGATGGTTTAGAAGGAAAAGGCATGGGTTTCTGAACCCATGGTTCTCTTTCTTTACCGTGCTTCCTAACAACAAAGTCTCTCTTATCATAACGTTGATTCTTTGATTGTGGGTTATCAAGATCAACAGTAGGTTCAATTTCCACATCATTATTATTGCTAGGTTGAGCATCAACATGAACATCATCATTAACATTATCACTAGGTTCATATTCATTACCAGATTGTGTTTCAGCATCAGAAACAGAAATATCATTGGGATTCTCAAGTGTGTCAACAACAGGTTCACTAGAAGCATGCAAAGTCCTATCATTTTTCTTTTTCTTCCTCTTAGAAGGACTAGGTGCATCTATAGTAGTTCTCTGAAAATCTTGCTCAATTCTCTTAGGGTGGCCCTCAGGATACAAATGCTCCTGAGTCATTTTACGACCTCTAGTACTAACTCCAACAACATTATCAATCTTCTTACTATTTAATTCATTGAGCAAATCATTCTGAGCTTTAAGTACTTGTTCTACTTGAGTGGTAACCATAGAAGCATGTTTATTAATAAGTTTAAGTTCACCTTTAACACTAGCCATATAATCACTCAAGTGTTCAATCATATAAGCATTGCGTTTCAGTTGTCTACCAAAATAAGCATTAAAATCTTCTTGCTTAACCATAAAATTATCAAATTCATCCAAACATCGGCTAGGAAACTTAGCAGGAGGGATTTCAACTTTATCATATCTATAGAGAGAGTTTACCTTTACTACCTGTGTCGGGTTATCAAGACCGTGTGTTTCTTCAACAGGTGATGAATTAAGACCGTGTATTTCTTCAACATGAGGTAAATTCTTAACATCTTCAGCTGTTATACCTTTTTCTTCCATAGATTTCTTTGCCTCTTGCATATCTTCAGGACTGAGAAATAGAATACCCCTTTTCTTTGGAGTTGGCTTAGGAGTTGGTTCAGGAAGTGTCCAATTATTTTCATTGGTCAACATATTATTCAATAGCAATTCAGCTTGATCAACTATTCTTTCCCTGAAAACACAACCAACACAACTATCCAGGTAATCTCTGAAAGCATCGGTTAGTCCATTATAAAAGATATCAAGTATTTCATTTTTCTTGAGGGGATGATCAGACAAAGCATTGAGTAATCGGAGAAGCCTCCCCCAAGCTCGTGGGAGACACTCTTCTTCAATTTGCACAAAATTATATATTTCCCTTAAAGCAGCTTGTTTCTTATGAGCGGGGAAATATTTAGCAGAGAAGTAGTAAATCATATCCTGGGGACTACGCACACAACCAGGATCAAGAGAATTAAACCATATCTTAGCATCACCCTTTAATGAGAACGGAAATAATTTAAGGATATAATAGTAGCGAGTTTTCTCATCATTAGTGAACAGGGTAGCTATATCATTTAATTTAGTAAGATGTGCCACAACAGTTTCAGATTCATAGCCATAGAAAGGATCAGATTCAGCCAAAGTAATTATATCAGGATCAACTGAGAAATCATAATCCTTATCAGTAATAAAGATAGGTGAAGTAGCATAAGCAGGATCATATTTCATTCTAGCATTCAGAGATTTTTCTTTCAGCTTAGCTAATAGTTTCTTAACATCACTTCTATCATTGCAGGCAAGAAAGTCTCTAGCAGTTTCTTCATCCATAACATAACCCTCAGGCACAACAGACAATTCATATCTAGGGGGAGAATCTTCATCATCACTTTCATCAATATTATCAGTTTCAATAATTTCATTCTCTCTAACCCTAGCAACTTGTTCATCAAGAAATTCACGAAGTGGCACAGTGGTATCAAGCATAGAAGTAGTTTCATCATAAGTATCATGCAAAGCAGAAGTGGCATCATCAATAACATGCGACATATCAGAATTAATAGCAGAAGCAGGTTTAGGTGTCGCAAGCTTACTCAAAACAGAAGGTGAATCAAGTGCAGAGCTAGATGGCAGTTCTTTACCTCCCCTCGTAGTTGAGGGAAAAATCTTGGTTCTTTGATCTTTCAAGTTCTTCATAATGATAAGCAGATATAAATCCCAAGTGACTCAAAGAATAGAGCTATGCTCCCCGGCAATGGCGCCAGAAAATGGTCTTGATAACCCACAAGTATAGGGGATCATAACAATTTTTGAGGATAGAGTATTCAACCCAAATTTATTGATTCGACACAAGGGGAGCCAAAGAATATTCTCAAGTTTTGCAGCTGAGTTGTCAATTCAACCACACCTGGAAACTTAATATCTGCAGCAAGGTATTTAGTAGCAAAGTAATATGATAGTAATGGTAACGGTAGCAAAAGTAATATTTTTGGTTTTATAGTGATTGTAACAGTAGTAATGGAAAAGTAAATAAGCGAAGAACAATATATGAAAAGCTCGTAGGCATTGGATTGGTGATGGAGAATTATGTCAGATGCGATCGATCATGTAACAATCATAACATAGGGTGACATTGAAGAACCATCTCAAGTTCATCAATGTAATGTATGCATGTATTTCGAATATATTCATACGTGCTTATGGAAAATAACTTGCATGACATCTTTTGTCCTACCCTCCCATGGCAGCGGGGTCCTATTGGAAACTAAGGGATATTAATGCCTCCTTTTAGTAGAGTACCGGACCAAAGCATTAACACATAGTGAATACATGAACTCCTCAAACTACGGTCATCAACGGTAAGTGTTTCGATTATTGTCACTTCAGGGTTAACGGATCATAACACATAATAGGTGACTATAGACTTGCAAGATAGGATTAAGAACTCTCATATATTAATGAAAACATAATAGGTTCAGATCTGAAATCATGGCACTCGGGCCCTATTGACAAGCATTAAGCATAGGAAAGTCATAACAACATCAATCTTAGAACATAGTGGATACTAGGGATCAAACCCTAACAAAACTAACTCGATTATATGATAAATCTTATCCAACCCATTACCGTCCAGCAAGCCTACGATGAAATTACTCACGCACGGTGGTGAGCATCATGAAATTGGTGATGGAGGAAGGTTGATGATGACAATGGCGATGGATTCCTCTTTGCGGAGCCCCGAACGGACTCCAGATCAACCCTCCCGAGAGAGTTTAGGGCTTGGCGGCGGTTCCGTATCGTAAAACGCGATGAATCCTTCTCTCTGATTTTTTCTCCCCGAAAGTGAATATATGGAGTTGGAGTTGAGGTCGATGGAGCGTCAGGGGGCCCACGAGGCAGGGGGTGCGCCCAGGGGGGTAGGCGCACCCCCTACCCTCACGGACAGGGTGTGGGCCCCCTGACGTGGATCTTTCTTCCAATATTTTTTATATATTTCAAAAATAATCTCTGTTGATTTTCAGGTCATTTCGAAAACTTTTATTTCTGCACAAAAATAACACCTTGGCAATTCTGCTGAAAACATCGTCAGTCCGGGTTAATTCCATTCAAATCATGCAAGTTAGAGTCCAAAACAAGAGCAAAATTGTTTCAAAAAGTAGATACGACGGAGACATATCACCCACTCCTTCAACTTATATATGGAGGGGCGGGGCACCCCAAGAGGGAGAAATTTTCCTAGACGTCTCAATAGACAAGTCTTAGACAACATCAAAATAAATGCTGTCGAGATAGAGGTAACAAAACCTCGCCCCTGTAACCGAGATCGTCATCATCATCAATATGAATCAAGCAGGATGTAGGCTTTTACCTCTACCGAGAGGGGCCGAACCTGGGTAAAAACATCGCGTCTCTTGTCCCACTCAACCCCTCTCAAACTACCACATAGATGCGTTGGCCTCACGACTAAGTCCTCACACTAAGGACATCCGCCGTGACAAATCCACGACAATTTATAATATACCCCTAGATGAAGGCAGTATCCATATAGGGCAAAAATGTAAATGTCTTCTTCTTTTTTGAGGGGCAGGAAGAATGCAAATGTCGGCCCTAATGGGCTCAGCATAACTACGGCCCACCGGCCCACTTGATCTCAACTACTACTACCGAGAATGCGCATAGCAAATCCCCCAAAGAAAAGGAACCCGCATCGACGAATTAATAAGCACGGCTCCGTTGCTTCACGAACTCTCCTCTTTCTTTTTCCTCCACCTCTATCGCTCCTCCTTCCCCCGGACTCCACCTCAACCCCCTCTCCGTCGCGTCGCCGCGGAGCCCTAGGACGGCGCCGCCGCCCTACCGCCATGGCGCAGCCGTCGCAGGAGGCGATCGAAACTTTCATCAGCATCACCGGCGCCGACGAGGCTGTCGCTGCCCGCAAGCTCGAGGTGAACCGACCTGCTCCTCCTCACAACTTCGTCTGTACTGTCTATTGTCCCTTCCCTTTCCCCGTGAAAAAAATCTGTGCCAGGGGCTACGTTCGTGTGGATTTGGTGGCTTTCGGGTTGAGTTAGGGTTCGCTCTCTCCCTGCTCGTGTGGGTCAGATGGCGATGCGGTGGGATGGCGGCTGGGCGGTTTGTGTGTGTGTGACTCAGCATCAGCGTATGATCAGTATGCAGAGTCGTGCTGTAGGGTGCTTAGGGTTGATGATAATTCTCCAATTGTGGGGTTTCTGGAGTGTAATGCCTGTGTTCTCCGATTGCTGCATACACTTACCTTATGTTTTATGTTTGTGCTTTAAGTAACACGGAATCATCAATGGATTAGAGTTGGGGGTGTCTTCGATCTGATAAATGATATGGCTGTAAATTGAGTTGATTTGTGCAGTGGGGAGGACTGAAATTTATGGAATCTGTCCAGATGTTTGCGCCATGAACCGTAGGGAGGAGCACGGTAGTAGTTAGTTGTATTTGCACTTTTGGAGTAGGGGCAAGAGGGAAAACAATTTTTTTTTTGAAACATGTTTGTCGTCTCTGGATGTGCCAAGAGTCTATGTTAACTGAATGGCTGAAGTTTTGCAGATCTGCTTTTTCAGGAGATTTATTTCGACCGAGTATTTGATGAACAGATACACTATTAGTGTTTGAATTATTGTGCATTTCACTTCCTTATATTTGTTCATCTAATACTGCTGTAAAAACATAGCAATTTGGATTTTAAACAAGTAAAATATTAGTACATTGAATTTCAGTTTAAACCTTACTCAGTATCACTCGATGTGCTGTGCTGCACCTTATAGGCTAGGATACACTACAAATTTTAACTTGTTAAACAGTAAGGTTGAGGTGATAATGTATTCATGCTATTTTGGCTTTATTATCCTTGATCAATCTGGACTACAGCTATTGTTTTCGTCATGTTTTACACCTTGCTTATCTATTAGATTTAGACATAGTGATTCTTGCAATATGTGTATTACTAGCTTTCTGGGCTCATATATATGATAATGGCTGGCCAATGAAATGTACATAGGAGCATAGCGGTGACCTAAATGAAGCGGTGAATGCATACTTCAATGAAGGAGATAGATCCACGTAAGTATTTTGCTCTCTCATCTGTTCTCTTTCTGGTATGCGTTTAGTGTCCTAACACCCACGGAATTTCCTTTACAAAATGTAACCAAGCTGTATGATTTTCAGCACCAGAATCAATCAGAATCCTATACCTGACAGTCATGATGATATTATGGATCTGGACGAACCATTTGATCCTATGTTTAGCCGATCTATGGGCAACCCTTTTGGTATTTTGGACCCAAGTTTTGTTGAGAGAGCCGCTGCTGGTTTCTTTGGTCAGGGACCTCAGGTTACACATCCCAGGGATGTGCGGCAGATACCTATTGAAGTTAAAGACACTGATAATCCTCAAATTGGAAGTTCTGGTCAGGGTCCTGTTATTGAAGATGTTACTGGACGTGAGTCTTCATATGGTCTGGAGGTTCATGGGACTGTTGTCATTGATGAGGATGATGATGACTTGCCATCTACCCATGCTCCTGTTATCCCAAGAAATACTCCAAGCACATACAATTCTGCACCAAGTGCTCCTCCATTGGTGGATGTTAGTGACTATAACAATGACATAGAAGAGGAGATGATCCGTGCAGCAATTGAAGCATCAAAAAGGGATGCAGAAGGACTTACAAATGTAAGCTTCGACTTATTGGATATCTTCCTCTTTTAATAATGTAGGTTTTACACTTTAGTTTGAACAAGTCTGCTGTGTTTAGGCTTTAAATAGTGGTGCATGTGAGAATGTATCACTGGTCAGAGATAATGATCTAGCACGAGCAGTTTCTCTTTCCTTGGAGGCAGTTCTCCAAGATTTTGAGCTCTTGTTTTGTGCATGTATATTTACTATTTTTTTTATCAATCAGGTAGCAGAGCGAGAGAGAGTTCTACTTCAAGAGGGAATGCATGCGGTTGATAATTCTTCTGATTTATCTGATAAGGAGGACATTGAAGGAGCAAGTGAGGCAGTTGAAAGGTGACTATCAAATATTGTCCATTGTCTAACTTTATTCCATTAATTGTAGATCAATAATTTGCTCGGTTTCTCAGAAATGTTTCATCACTTGCTCAATTTCCATTGTTCCATCAGTCTGCAGTTTCAAAAGCATTGTGTTTGTGCTATTTTAACACAAGTTTGACTAGCTGAGCATGCACATTGTGTGTCCTATCGTAATAGCCTCGAACTAACCTTTCTGTATCTAGTGTAACTAATTCCTTGTATTGTCCTTTCTTGTTGTAGGAAAGTACTAACCACAGGGCAAGCTGGAACTTCTAGGCAATTGGTTGATGAAGAGAACTTCCAAGACGATATTGAAGATGTTGACGAAGAACCTTTAGTTAGACAACGTTCTAGGCGTGTTCTATCTGGAACTGTCGGGCCAACAGAAGCAGTGCAAAGGGCTGACAGTCCTCCCTCGGGCCCTCATTCTCATGGTACTGAAAATGCTCACCAGCATAATGGAGCTTTCCCCTCAGAGGTATTCTAATCACCTCATGCCTCTAGGAGGCTTCTGTTTTGGTGCACTACAGTTTCTCCACAACTCACGGTTCTGTTTTTTTTTTCTGTCAAGTGGGGAGGCATTTCTTCTGAAGAGCACGATGAAGCTGTTATGCTTGAGGCTGCTATGTTTGGTGGGATTCCTGAACACACAGAATATCCATTTCCCCTCCCATCTCATGGAATCTCAACTGGCTATCCCCGAGTAGCACATCCTCCATCACCAACATTAACTGCACAGAGGTTGTTAAGGGAGCAGCAGGTATGGAGCTGTATTTATCTGCTAGGGAATGGATTGACTATTGCACCTAACACATGATATTTAAATTACAGGATGATGAGTATCTTGCAGCCCTCCAAGCTGATAGAGAAAAAGAGTTGAAGGCTGTGGAGGATGCTGAGCTCCGTAGATTAGAAGAAGTTGCTGCAAGAGAAGCTGCTATTGAAATGGAAAAGCAAAAGAACGAGGAAAAGCTGAGAAAACAACTTGAGGAAGAGGTACTTCAGTTGGTATTATCTATGAAGTTCTTTGGGAAAAGTTCTGGAATTCACTCCTCCATTAGTATTTCTCATGTTTGCTACATATATACCTCTATATACACTATACAGTAGTGTCATGGGCCTAGCTTAACACACACATCCCGATGCTAACAGTATAAGAGGCCACGTAATATTCTGGGATGTCTTGTGTATGGATTACGCTTGGATGCTGTACTGGTTAGGGTTTGCTTATCAGGATGATTTATTAAATCACTGCGGATGTGGCAAACTGTCAATTAATGAGTATTAATTTTGAACAAGAGTGGAATGAATGCCAGTTTGTAAGATATGCCTGAGATTGTTGAACTTCGTAGTATGTTCCTTTATTTAATTCTTACCAGGGTATACTTTTGAACTTAGTTATGCTTAACTAGAAGCAGCTTAATACAAGAGATGTCTCTTGGAAGCATTAGAATCAAAGTTGTGTAGGGTCATTGCTATTTCTTGCTGTGACTATCCCCATCGTCAAATAAATGATAAGAAGCATGTAATATTTCTTCTTCAGACTCTGTTAAAGCTTGATTAGTCTATTATTCTCGATGTACGTGTTATATTTGGCGCTGCGACACATTTATTATGCATTTGTTTTACATCATGAAAATAGGAGTTGGAGTCCATGCTTGCAGCCAAGCGAACATCATTACCAAAGGAGCCACTGCCAAATGCTGAAGGAGCCGTCACAGTTGTAGTTCGCATGCCTGATGGTAGTCGCCAGGGAAGGCGCTTTTTGAAATCTGACCAGCTCCAGGTAGGCTGCTTTTAGTTGCCAGTTCTATTATGGAATCATTCATTATAAATTTATACCTGCTTCCAACTTTCTGGGATTTTATTGCAGGCCCTTTTTGATTTCATTGACATCAGCAAGACATTCAAGCCTGGAACCTATAGACTGGTAATTATACCATTTTTCTTCTATTTGAAGAAGTTATGTTCACAAAAGAAGTTCTATTGAGAAAGATCAATTCAGCTTCCACTAACGTGGTATAGTGGATCATGATCATATACCAACAGTGCTTGGTTGCCCACGCTGTAACAGTGGAAACTATATCATGTTTCCACAGTTCAGTTTTTCGTCATCAACATCTATGTATTAGTGCTGCTATATCAATATATGCCACTGAATAATGCTTGAATTCCCATATTGATCCATTCCAAATGGACTATGTAGCTTTAGTAGTTAAGTTCAGATAGTTGACGGCAGCATTCAGTACAGTAACCTGTATGATGATTGACCGCATAGAATGTGCGACTCAGAACCATTTCTGCTATATGTGGCATGCTTATTTTCATTTTTAGATCACAATGATTTTCGGGCATGCTTATAGTGATTACCAGAAATACATTTTAGCTAATCATTCACTTCTGTTGTTTGGTATGTGGAATTTGGGATGATGTTTCAAAACTCTATGGAAGGAGCACGCCAGAATATCTTCTTGTTTTATACTGATATAGTATTCTGATTATTATATCAATACTAATGCAAATCTGTGATTTGCAGGTGAGATCTTACCCCAGGCGTGCATTCACCGACGAGGAGTGTCAGATGTCGTTGAGTGATGTGGGTCTCACCAGCAAACAGGAGGCCTTGTTTCTAGAACAAATTTCAGGATAGTGTGAAGGATTTAGTAATGGATGGCATCCAACTGGGGATTCATATTTTTTACTTCTATCTGTCATATGTTGATGAAAAGTTAGCAAGGTTTCTCGTGAACCTCCGCGTCGAGGAAGGTCTCATTATCCTCTTTTGTTTTATGATCCGATGTTAGTAAGTTCCATTGTGTACTCGGTGCCGCAATCCCACTTTAGGCATGCAGTCAGGATGTATATACAGTGCTCTTTTGTTATCTAAACTAATGGATTGCATGCTAAGTTTTTTGAGTTTGCAGACATCATACTAAGGTTCTTTGTGAGATATCCCAATTGGCGTTCATATTATGGACTCATGGTCACCTCGGTGACCTGCCCTCCCAACCTGATGCAGTCGCCACCTTGCATCAGCAATTTAGGAGTAGTATTTTTCTTTTACCGAATTAGTATTGATATTTCTACGCGGCATTGAGTGTTTATTTCTACGTGGCCATGTGGATTTACTATGATGAAATTTACCTTCCAGCTCCATCGAGTTTGAATGAAAAACAAAGTGCAGAGGTTAAAGTGAGAGGCCGTGCCTCAAATCGTCCATTTTATTAACGTGTCGAGATCGACAGCAGCAGCAGGACACGACAGACTGGACAAACGAAAACTAAGACGGCGGCGAAGAGGCAGACATGCCGCAACAACGGCAGAAATGACCACCTTCATTATTAGTCACTCTGTGACTCGCATCGTTTCTTCGTTCCGCCTCAAGCCGCTGCCGTTCATGCACAAGGAAAAAGGAGACAGAATCAAGCTTAGAAAACTTTGGACGCATAAACAAAGCAGTGGTAGTTATTTTATTTTGAAGAAGGAATGATGCATGGAGGGTTGTGTTGGCTTACAGCAGTTGACTTGTCCGATGTTGCAGCGGGAGGGGAGGCTGTTGATGATGCCCATGGTGCTGCACGCGCAGTCGCGCGAGATGGAGCTCAGCGCGCTGCAGCAGTCGGCGCTGGGGTCGGCCGCGCCGGGCACCAGGTACGCGCGGCACGCCAGCAGCCGGTTCAGCTGCGGCACGCACCTCCCCGGCGGCTGTGCCTCCGCCGCCGGCCCGAGGCCGCCGACCACCAGGAGAACGAGGGACACGGCCAGGAGCGCGCGCGGGAAGGTGCTCGGCGCCATCGTACGTCGGTGGACTGTTTTTGTTCTCTCAAACGCTAGCGTGGCTCGTTGAGCTTGTGCTGGCTGGCTGTTGCAGTGCACGACGACGCGCTGTGGTATTTATACGGAGTTTGAGGAGAAGGAGGGGCGGCGAGCTTTGCATGGCTCACCTAGAGCTAGTAGAACGTAGAAGGCGATGACGCACCGTGCACGGAGCGAGCGGTGGAGCAGCCGTTCGAGCAGCTGCAGGTTTTGTGTGAGCTACCGAACGAGCGTCACGCGCCTGGGCGCATCACGCTCTTGAGATCTTCGCTTCTTTTCCGGTGCCGGCTTGTCCTAGGAGAGGAGCTTGCGACGCACGGCCTGCTCGATCTGTGTCTGTGCGCGGCTGCCAGGCAATGCCGGTGCCGGCATCTCTTGCCAGCGGAGTATCTGGAAGACGTTTTTTTTATTTGCGAAATATGCCCACTTAGAAGAAGTTGTAGTTGCAGTCTTGAAAAATGTTCATCACGTAGTAAAAAAAATGTACATCGCTTATTTGAAAAATGGTCATGATGTATTTGAAAAATATCACGGCGTATTTGAAAAAAAATTGTCGGGTATTAGGAAAAGATGTTAATCGCAGATTGGAAAAGTGTTCACCACGTCTTCGAAAATTGTTCGTCGGATACTAGAATAATGTTTGCCTAATATTTACAAAACTGTCCATTACATATATTACAAAAAGAATTCATCGCGCGAACCAACCTGTGGTTGGATAGTTAGATGGACAGTGGTATTCCTAGCCCGCCAGCGTTCAAGTCTTGGTGCTCGCAAAGATGACATGCCGCCTCAAGCTCTCGGATGTGCTCATAGGGATAGGATGCGTGTGTGTGCGTTCATAGAGATGAGTGTATGTGATGGGGACATCACTACTACAATTACACCCACAATCCCTGCTGATACATATATTGGACCAATTATTAAAGCTCGCGCACGTCAACTAAATTATATTATCAGGTACTTTCATTTCTTGGTAACGACTCTAGTGTTTATAAGAATATAATGCTGCCTAAGTTAGATACTTTTGTTTTGCTTACAAATGAAGGACCCAACATGGACAAGAAGGATGAACACTGGAGCATGATCAAGCATGAAGATGATGGCGCGCGCAAAGGGAACAAGAACATAGTTTCTGGTAAAGTTTTCAGCATTTTGGAGCCACCATGATGACATCCAAGGACATGGACAAAATATACAAAATTGTCTTTTATAAATTTTGTTCGTAGCTTAATATAGGTGTTGCGCTATCTTATTTTTGCGTTAGACTCATGTATTTTCGAAATGCAACTTCGTAGGTTATTTTTAGAGTCCATACTGTAGGGGGAATGACCGAGGAGGTGTTTTAGTATGACCTTGCCAAAGGTGGATGAAATCCCCTCTCTTTTCCTCTATAAATACAACCCTTAAGACAACATTTAGACTTGAGTTTTGTTTAGATTAAAAGTTCACCATAGCTGCAACTTCGCGTTCTTCGTTTGTGTTCTACGACCAGAGCAAGACATCACATAATCCCACTTCCATTAATAAAGATTTCCTCTTATATTCGCAACATTCAGATTGCAATTTCAATTTCTTACTTGTTCTTCATTTGCGTGCAGGAAATAGACCTTCATGGTCAGGTTGATCGTGTTTTGGCGTGGTCAATAACCTCTCGGTGTTAGTTTAGAGATTGCTAAGGCGCTGCGTCCTCACACGTTCGTAGTCAGATCGTCAAAGTCTACTTCACCGAAAACGATAGCCAATATCTCATTGAAAGATGGGACACCTTAGCCTCTATCAAGTGGTATCAAATTTCTAGATTGCTCGGTGAGATTCTACTAGTTTTCGTAGTCTAGATTGCATCTGTTCTTCATACCTTCAGTTCATAAAAAAGGCAAAAAAATTCGGGTTAGTTCATCATATCCAAACCAATCTGAGCCTTTGCATAACCTTTTCGGTGTTTTTGCTTTGTTGAATTTGCAGCTGCATCGTCGTGTCGAGTTGCTAGTCTTAGTATCTAGTCTCTTAGAGTTTCGAGTTTTGTTCACATGCTGTCACGCCGTCGCCGCACCATCGTCATCACCACTGCCATATACCACCATCGTCATCACCGATGCCATATACCACCATCGCATATCCGCCGCCAATCCGAATCCATATATACCACCACATATTCGCCGCCATCACGCCAACCCGAGTCCACCTCCATCACAGATTCGTCACCAGTCCGTGTTCCACCGCCCCTACATATATCGACCACCAGTCCGAGTTCCACCGAATTCATCTCCGCCATCAATCCTATTCCGAGTCCAGTATTTACCTCTCTCTAATTGATTCCCAGATCACGTACTAGTACGAGTAGTGACCAATTCAGACTCCCCAACTTCCGTGCCACCCGTAGAAGAAAAATAGTTCCAGTTTAAAAAAACTAAGTCTGGAAAATTCTGGCTAGGTACTTTTTAGATCATTTGTGGACTTTTTGATAAAAGAATTATTGCGGAGAAAAAAAGAGAGGCAAAAAAGTGAAAAAAAGAGAAAGAAAAAGATTTAGAGTGTGCTTCTGCCTTGTTTACGTGTAGCGCCATGATTTTGTTAGTGTTCTAGGCCCGCGTCTCTAGCATGATCTAGCCTAGGACCAGCACAATACTGTCATTGATCGTTTATTCAACTTTGCATCTCTGAGTTGATTATTGCTGGCCCTTTTTGCTACCTGTTATAAGCCTCCCCAGCTCCACATACATCTATGTCGTGCATATGGCACCACCTGAAAATCGCTCTATCCAAGGTTTGAGAGTTTTGACTACAATGGTTGCTGATCACTGCCTGCTGCTTGGTAAGAACTGGTAAGAATTTGGGATTCGCTTGACGGATTTGTGACTCTCCTCCACACCACCACCACCAGAACTATGGGGTTCCTAGTAGTTTGTAGGATCATATTCTTGTGTGTTTCTCTTGCTGCTAACCATTACAGGATCACAAGCCGACGAGACTGACTAGGAGAACATGACGAACAAGGCATTACATGATAAATTTCAGCAAATGTTGGGTGAACAGGTGCAAGACGTGATGAGTAGCTTTGGAAAGGCACCGGAGAGGATAGATGACATTGAGAAGACAATTGACACCAAGTTGGACGCCAAGTTCACTGAAGTGCTCGCGCGTCTACCACCATGTGCCGCACCGTTGCAACAACAACAACCACCTCCACATCGCGATCCAGTAGGACGAGCGAAGCATGTTCCTCTTGAGGAATGCCAACATTCTGGTGCCGCTGCTACTGCTGTTGATGGTTCTATGGCTCCTGCTGCTACTGTCGAGGAGGAGAGAAATTACGAGGGCGATTATGAGGATGAGGTTATGCAAAATCAGAACTATGTGCAACCACCAGCACCACCACTAGGTCGTCCACATACATATAATCGTAATGGTAGGGCTGCACCACCACCTCAGGTACGAGATCGTGATCATGTTCCAAAACTAAAATTGAATATTCCGCCATTTGAGGGTAGATACGTTCCTGATGCATATCTTACTCGGGATTTAGAAACGAACACCGTTTTACATGTTTACAATATCCCGAGGATATACCTGTTGCTGCTACTGTTTTTGCACTTGCTAGTTTTGCTTGTGTTTGGTGGTCTAAACATTATAGATTATATCATGATAATACCCCAACTACTTGGGCTGCTTTGAAAACTACTATGCTGTAACATCCCAAAATTCTAAATTTTGGAATGTTATAATAAATAGATAGATTTGATTGTTTGTTTGATTGATTGTCTGAAAGTTAGTGAATTAGAAACTTCTTGAAAGTTAAATGAGAGGGAATAAAAGGACTTTCCCAAACTTTCTTATTTGCTTTCTGATCTCCGTGAATTCAAATACTTTTCATCACAAAACCCCGGAGAGAAGATGACATGACTTCTTCCATTTATTTAAATGAAATGGGGTGTTTGAAAATATTTGAATTTCATTTGGGAAAATATTTCCAATTCTGAAACTTTATGCAACTCAATGATTTTCACGAGAGAAGATAAAATGACTTCTTCAAATTATAGGAAATATGAGTTGGGAGTTTCAAAAGAAATAAATTCAAAGTTCTTTTGGATTTATTTTCAATTTGGAGTTATTTGAGTTTTATTCAAATTATTTTTCTCCAAAAACAAAGTACATGGAAAATGGGGTAACATGATTCTCTACAATAGAAAATTGGAGAAAAATTAATTTGAAACCATTTTGGTATTTTTAAAATGATTTTTATTGGATTTCATTAGAGCAGGAGCACTGTTTGAATTATTAGAATTTATGTGTATTTTATTTAGTGCTAGAAAAATGTCCATCTTGTTGGAATCTTTTTCTTAAAATTTTGATATATTATATGCCTATATAATATTTTTATTTCGGTTTGTTTTTATTTGTTTTGTTTGTTTGAAAAAAAAGAAAATCTTTATATAAAAAAAATTCCTCACCGACTGGGCCGGCCCAGCGCCCGAGCCAGGCCGCGGCCCAGCCCAGCTTGCCGTCGCCCCGTTTGCCTTGGCCCCGACGCGGGACGACTCCCGCCTCCGCAGATCCGCCGCCGCCGCCGCAGTGCCTCGCTGCTGCCGCACCACCCCGCCGCCCGCGTCGCCGTTGCCTGCCGTCGCCAGAGCTGCCTCGCTCGCCGGAGCCGCCGCCTCTCCTCGCCATTGACCTCGCCGCCATCGACAAAGAAAAACCGCCGGTAAAACCGCCGAGCCGCCCCGGTTTATTTTGGTTTTCTTCAGTTTTTTCCCAAACGTTTTTATTATTATTAATGGACGTTCGCTCGTTTAGGATCGAGAGCGGACAGATTCGTTAGTTAGAGTTCAGCAGCGAACGTTTGTTGTTTAGTATTTTCTTCTTTTCTTTTTAATTTCGGCCAGGGACCCGTTTGTGAATAACTTATTTGCAGAATAGCCCCTGATCTTCAAAACACTGTAACTCTTTGCTCGTTTATCCAAATCCAATGAAATCAACGCTCACATATTCGTTACGATCCCCTCTATCCATTAATCCAACTCAAACATGTTTTTGAAAAGTTTAAAATTTTAATTAGATCAGATTTGAATTCAAATTTCGTTTGATCATAACTTGAGTTTCGTAGCTCCGTTTGAGTTGATTCTTTTTGCATATCGAAGCTCTTGACCTAAACATTCTAATAAGGCCAAATTCACATAATTTTGGTACTGTTAGAAATTGTTTTATGTTGCAAGAGTTATTTGCTTGGTTTTGATGTTTCCGAATCGTCTTCTTCGTTCTTTCTGATCTTTTGAGTGATTGCTTATGTGTGGTTACTATTGTTTGCTTACGATAGATTGACCGGAGTGTGACGAGTAGATCTATCAAGAGTTTTGAGTGCGAATCATCTTCCTCAACATTGCAGGCAAGTTCACACTTTGATCATATTCCTTTTCATACCCAGTTTTTATGCATTAGTCTCAACCCTCAAACATTGCATGGTTAGGAATTGATAACATGTGGATATTGGGAAGTAGTTGATGAGGTAGTACCTATTACCTGTTTATTATCAAACCCTTGGGAGTTACTATTACGTTATGCTTACATTGCCATGCTATGCTCATAGACATGGATTGGGTTTTGAGAGTATTCATGATAGATGTGAGATTGTTAATTAATGTTTTACTTAAGGTGGCAACTTAAACACACATCTGGGTGGATTGAGGCACCGGGTTATTCCAGGATTGCCTGTCTAGGCACCTGGGTAGACCAGGATTGCCTGTTTTTTTATGGACCGCCACCCAGGCTCAAAGGGATCATAAGATTATTCATACTAGAAACTTCCGTGTGCAGCCACAAGCTATTATGGGCTCTAGCAAAGTTGACTAAGTCGTGCGAACTCTTACAGTGGTAGACTAGCAGATGTAGGGGATGTAGGTGGTACGGTCTACTCGATCGTAAGGTGCTAGCATTTCTGAAAGACTATGTCTCAGTCATCCGTTTCTCGAACACCATGTAGTGCGAGAAACCAAACGGAGGCGATCGAGTCTTGTGGGGAAAAGTGCGCAAACCTCTGCAGAGTGTATAAACTAATCATGATTAGCCGTGTCCCCGGTTATGGACGTTTTGAGTATCTAGTACTTGGATTATCATATGAATCTCATCATGTGACTTTAAATAATTTTGTTGGGTTTAATGATGTTACTTAA